TCAGCACTGTTTGCAGACAGGTCCTTTGTGCTACACGTGACGGGTGTGAAAGGAGCCCTCCCTCAGGCCCTGGCAGCTCCTAGCAGGGGTGGGAGCAGGGTGCGGGCTGAGCATGCAGAGGAAGGACCAGGCTGGCCTTCATCCACAGAGCGTCACAGAGCCTGGCTGCTCTGGTGATTGCCTGCTGCATCTTGAGACTATGTAAAAACAGAGTGTATTCTTTTCTCAGATCTACTAATTTTTTAAATAAAAATATTACACTGAATGACCCATTCCCATGAATCCCTCTTGAAATATTCCACCTGTTTCAAACACACTTTCCTTGCCATTCTTGTCTGTCTTGGAGGCGGTTCTGGAAGCCCTGTTTAGTTGTGCTGTGGTTGTCACCTCGGTATCCTGAATTGACTGGAGGCGCTCAACTCTCATGATCACTGTGGCTTTGGGGCAGCGCCAGAAGTCTTATAGTGCAGGATCTGGCGAGGAGGTGGACGAGGTCACAGTGTGACATTTTTTGCCAGTCTGCCTTTCTGTCAGATGACAGCAGGCAGCAGCATTTGCTGTGTTCTGATCACACCTTGTAGAGGTGCTCAAGGAGAGGACTTCAGCACCATGGCGGAGGGGCAAGAATGATGGGGCAAATGGGTTTGCAGTGAGGGGGAATGATCTGAGGCACTGCGTGGCGATGAGTCTTTTACTAATAAAGCATTTTTAAATTTAATCATTCACTGCATTTTTTGATCAGACCTTGTAGTTACCCTTGTGTGAAAGACACATTCTAATTGTGACACTGCCCACTGCCCTGTAACGAGTGCCTGCTCCATGGCTTGAGAAAGCTCCTAAGATGGTCACCATGGTTATTTCCTTTTTTTCTGTGGCTCAGGAGATCGAACCCAGGGCCTTGGCACGCTAGGCCAGTGCTCTACCGCTGAGCTACAACCCCAGGCCTCTTTCCCATGTTATAGATGAGCTGTGGCACAGGAGTGTTTCCACTGGCTTGCCAGGCATCTGGTTGGCATCCAGCAGGGAGCCCGGGACTATGCTTCTAGTAATGAGCCTCTGTCTGTGCCGGCCCCAACTCTACCATCGTCAGTGCCTCCAGTGCAGGATATAACTGTGGAGTTGTGCTTGCCTCTCATGTTGGGCATTTCTGTTCCTGCTGGTGGCTTCTTGGCAGAGTGCAGATGTCACAGAGTCCTCTCCTCCCTCCAGCGCTAAGGCAGCCCCTCAGGACAAGCCAGAACCTGTTGCTGTTCCCGAAGGAGATGGCCCTGACACTCAGCTGGATGCACCAGCAGCTTAGGTCGGGGTAGCTTTCCCTGGGCTTTCTGCTGTTACCCAGCCTTCCTGTAGCTCTTCTGGTACAGTCTCCTATGGGCCTGGCCTCCAGCCACCTGGGCACTGCCGCTGGCCTCAGGCTTTCCTGAAAGCCTGGTGTCTTCCAGTGCTGAGCACCAGGCCTCTCCGCTGCCCTCCTGGCTCCAGGTGCATAGCTGAGAGTGGGTCCCAGTGGGGCTCACCCAGTCATAAGTGAGTTTTGCTCACCGATGGGCTTGTCATGGCTTTAGGCCTCAGTGAGTATGCCCAGGAGCTGAGGCCTGGCTGGCAGAGGTACCTTGCTCCTGCCTGGCACCAAGCTCTGCCATGGCTGGTCACTCTGCCTCCAGTGTTGGAAGTGTTGAGAGTTGCTGTACATGGTAGAATACAAGGCAAGATTTCCCTCTCCCTCTCCTCCTCCCTCTTTTGGTAACTGTCTTTTCAGTTGGGTTGAGTCTTCGTAAAGTCCTGATGTTACATGTGCCTTCTCCATTGTGTACCTTATTTTGGACAATAAAGTATTGTTTGAGACACCCTAACCTTAAAAAAAAATTCTAGCCATTGCCTCCTGAATTTAGATGCTTCTAAAAATCCTTTGACAGAGCTAATTAGAAATAAAAGGAGGCAAAGAAATTGGACACAGGTTTAGCCATTATTCTTGGTAGTGGCTGACCTCAGAACTGTAGGTGTGAAATATTATAAACATACCTTTTAAAGATCGCGAATAAATGCAAGTGTAGTAGGTAGCTTGTGATTACAGGCTGATGAAAAACCCAGCTGCCTTGCCCATATGAGTGCAGGCGATGCCCTGGGTGAGGTGACCCTTCCAGGACCAGTACCCTCAGCATGTGTCAGGAGCTGTGTCGCTCAAGGTGGCTCCCTGGTGACGCAGCCTGAGGCAGGGTGGCAGAGGCGGTATTGTTGATGTACACGAGGGTTTTCAGGAAGCAATCGTTTTGTAGGCTAGATGTGAGAGAAGTAACATTTTATAATTAATAGAATGCTTACATTTTAATATATACACATCAACAGATTAATAAAGGTTGCAAATAGTGATAAGACTTTCTGTCTGCATCCATCCCTAAAAAGTCATATGTTCTACTTGGCACAGAGCAGAGCTTTGGACCCTGTCATTAGCCAGTGGTCTTCACTGCAGGGGCCAATCCACCTTCTTTGCTTCCTAGTTTATCTGGTAAATCTTCCTGAAGCTCCTGAGGCTGGGGCTTGAAAAGGAGAAGGAAGGAGAGAAAGGGGTCCTGTTTTCTCCCTCTGTCATCTCTTGCTGTCTTCACTCTTGCTTTCTGCCCCAAGCCAGACACCAGACCCTAGTTTGGGCTGGGGCTCCAGAGTGTACCTGGGTGTTGTCCCAGGCAGGTCACAGTAGGCAGGCCAGCTTTCATCCTTGGGAGGACTGGGCATTGGCTTCACACTGGCAAGTGGCTGTGATTTGTTTCTTGCTGCAAGAGTGTTTTCCATGGAACATATTAATTTATCTTTAGGAGGATTTATTACATGAAATATTCATGGGTGCAGGCTTCACAGTACAGTTCTTGGAACAAATGTACTGAGTACGGTTTGTCCTCAGAAATCTATTAATGTTGATGGGTTGCAATTGCCGCCCTTGAAGCTTTGGGGTGATCTGGGGCCAGTTGGGGAGCAGGCTGGCTGCTGCCACCTCTTTACCTCTCTGGTTGGCCCTGCTCTGTGTGTACGTGGGCATACACCTGTCCTTTCTCTCCCTTTCTGATGAACACAAAGACCACTTCTGTGCAGCCTCTTGTCAGCTCCCAGCTTCTCTCCTTCCGCTCTGGCTGGGAGGTGTCGTGAGGCTCCATTCAAGACACTGGCTCATTAGTGATGGCTGATCTGGGAGCAGAGAGGTTCAGGGGACCGGGGGAGGCGGGGCAGGATGCTCAGGCTTGGGAAGACATGGAGGATGCAGTAGGGCTGAATAGAGAAGGTCAGGAGACTGGCTAGGAGTTTATCAGGCAGATGAGGGCTGGGAGACCGGGTCTGGAGGTGGGAAGATCAAGGACATCGTAAGACACACAAGGGTGGCCTGCAGGGCAGGGGTGGGGGTGCCTGCTTCATTTCTGTTCAGTTCCCAGGGGAGGGGAGGCAGAGCCACTGCTGCAGGTGATCCTGAGCCTTGCTGGGGAACTTGGACTGTAAGCAAGGGCAGTGAGGAGCCACTGGATGTTTTAGGCCCATGAGAGACTATAGGTATGCACCAAGGGTGGTTGGGGAAAGCGAGGCAAACCTGCCAGGGAAGCCACAGGGATGAGAGGCAGCCGAGAGGGTGCAGGAGGCGAGACATGATTGGAGATTTGTGTTGGGAAATGGTGAGACTGGACTCGTTAGCTCAGATGGACAGGCCACAGAAAAAGAAGCAGCCAAGGTCAAAGAAAATCAGCAGCCAGGAAAGGGAAGAAGGAACACCACGGTGTCTTAGAAGTGGCAAAAACTTTCTAGAGGTTTGAAAAAGAGCTAGCACGAAAAAAATTTTAAGGAATGATGATAGCCAACATGAAATGCAAGTTTTTCTAAGTTTAATAGTGTTCTGGGAATTTAAGAAATAAGCGTAAAAACAAGTGTGAACTAGAAGAACTACGGGTTAAAGAGAAGTATATGAGAAATAAGATATATGAGAAATAGGAGATATAAGAGAAATAGAGATGAAAGCAGAACCCAAAGTGGGGAGAAGCACACAACTCAGTTTATGGCCGTTGAAGGTCTGGGGCTTGACTTTGGTGCGTGATGGCGGAGCTGCCAGGTGGCATTTGCTGGGCTTGTCCTGTCCACTGTGCTCCTGGGGAAGTGGGCTGTGGAAGGAAAGCCACCAGCAGATCTCCTGGGAGGGCAGAGAAAGGAGGAAAGACATCCAAGCTTCTGGTTTGAGTACCTGTTCTCATGGAGCCTGTGGAGCCACCCAGAGAACCTACAAGAGACAGGCCAAGGCCAATATAGAATGGCCTTCTACTCTTTTAGGATATTGTCCAACAGGAAAACCAACCAAGGGTCCTGTCAGTACTCCTGTCTTAGGCACGGTTGCTGCCCTCCTCCCTTGCTGGTCACTGTTGAGGAGAGGAGACATTTATACCGAAAGGAATCCAGGGACCAAGGACATGTGCTGACTGCGTCCCTGCTAGCTGTGTGAGTTGGGCAGCAGGGTCTTCCTGGGCATCCTCTCTCACTTAGGATTTGGAGGCTAGATCAGTGTGTCTGCCTCTCTGGGGCCACGATTGTCATGAGGATCAGAGTGCATATGTGAGAGCATCTCCTATCGGCCAAGCTGGTGGCTCCCCTGGACTTCCAGGGGCTTTGAGGAAGGTGGTAGTTTGTTGCTCCTTGTATCTCTCCCAGCACCTCTAGAGGGTCTAAGAGAAGACACCAGGGATGCTGCTTGAGTTCGTGGCGAGTTGCCCTCAGTGCTTAGCATTTTCTATGGTCAATTCTTCTTGTTCATCCTCCTGGACAAGGGAGATAGAGCTGGGGCATCTGGTGGGTCCATGACACCCATTAGTGGCCCCTAGGAGGTGACAGTGCCTGGAGCGGCATTAGCACCCAGCCATGCTGGGGAGCCCAAGTTCAGCCCCTGCTTCCTGGGTGCAGGTGTGTGTTGGGTGTCCACAGCCCAAGGTGAGGTCTGATTGGCTGACTGCTGGGTTTTCCTGCTCCTGCTACAGGTCATCTTCCACGATGTGGCTGTGCTGACGGACAAGCTCTTTCCTGTCGTGAAGGCTATGCAGAAGCACTTCAGTGCTGGCTCGGGGACCTACTACAGCGACTCCATCTTCTTCCTCTCTGTGGCCATGCATCAGATCATGCCCAAAGGTACTATGGGGGCTGTGCCGGGAGCAGGGGCCTCACGTGTCTGTCTCTGTGCAGCTCCCTGCTCATACACAGCTCAGAGGAGGAGCTCCACTGGGACATGGGACCGAGGGCGAGCTGCAGGTCACAGGCTCCCTCAGCTAAGAATCACAGGCAGGCCCTGGGTCATGTAGCTCCTGGGGCCTACTCATAAGGACTTAGTGTAGATTGCAGTGTGGTGTCCCTGGGCGTAGGGGACCTGGGCTGCAGCTCTGCTTCTACCTCTTACACACACACCTCCTCCCACCCCCACTTTCCCAGGCCTTAGTTTGCTCGTCTGTGAAATGATAGGCTTGGATGAATGATCTGCATCCAAAGATGTTCAGTCTGGTTTGAATCTGATTTTAAGAACTTAAATCAGGACATGAGAAGCACAAATTATAGACCTAGTAGGACTTGTTTTGAAACTCTGATGTGTGTTAAAAGCTCTGTTGGGTTTCTGTCCCCCTAGGATAGAAGAGGTCCGGCCATCTCTCTGTGACAGGTGCAGCTTGTGGGGGGCTGCTGGCAGTAGCAGTCACCCTTAACTGGAGTCCGTCGAGCGGACTCCTTTGTAGGGTAGATTCTCCTCCCAGTGGCCCTTGCTTGGTTCTGTTGGCCTGGCTATCACTCAGCTTCTGGTCCTGCTGGACCATGGCCTGAGGCCTTAGGAGCGAGCAGGTGTGCTGGGGCCTTGGGACGGCAGTTATGAGGACTGTGGCTGGTTGATTTGTGGACCCCTTCCAGACCCAGCAGGGCTTGATGGCCTCTGGAACAGCCAGCCTGCTTGGTAGAGGTCTGCTGCTCCTGCCCAGCAGACCGGAAGTGAAGGAGGAGTCAGGCGCCAGTGGTCCATCAGGCACTCATGGTTAGGAGGAGGTCCTAACCCTCCACAGCCAGGAATTGACCCGGGCAGCACGGAATCCTGTGGCCTCAGGGGTGTTTGTGAGGAAGCCTGGCCATGCCACACCTACCCACTGCCCACGTCCCTCGGGCCAGGCCTTTGGAATGGAATGTTGGGGATTTTCTGAAGGACACACTGCTTTCAGACGTCATTAGCACTGACTTGAGTTGATCATCGTTCTTTATTGCTGTTTTTTATGCATTCAGTTGTGTGTTTTTTTAAATCATAGAAAGTTTTTTGTGCTTTGGTTGATGGTTTTGTTCTAGTTTGATAACTACTTTCTGGTTTAGTCATTTTCCTTTCTTCCTAGGCAGCAGAGTGAGGATGGGGCACATGTTGGGTCATGGAGAGAAGGTGGGAGGAAGGTTGGGTACCAGGCAGGGCTTGGGGAGCCTGGACCCCAGCCTCGTGACTGTGGGAAGTCACTGAAGGAGGCCACATAGTGTAGTGGCAGAGAGCCTGGGCCCCAGGACGGGACCCGTGGCAGCACTTGGCACCATGCCTGGAGTGTTGAGTGCCTAGGCATTGTTGTTGGCTGTTGGGGTGGCTACAGCAAGCCTGAACTCCAAGCACACAGCCGAAGGTGGAGGTGGATTATCTGCACACTCATGGATCACCCACTCTGCCTTTTGGAAATAGCTTCTTTTTTTTTTTTTTTTTTTCCTTTTTTGAGTAAGGACCTCAGGATGGCCTTGAACCCACTATGTAACCCAGGTTAGCCTTAACCTCACAGTGATCCTTCTACCTTGGCTCCCGAGTGCTGGAATGACAGGTGGGCACTACTCTGCCTAGCTTTGGAAAGAGCTTTTGACAGGACAGCTGTGTCTGTTTTCTGTGGCTAATAAAATAATTTCAGAGGTCAGTAAGTTATAAAGAAAAGAGGCTGATGCTGGCTCGCAGTCTTCATGCAGGGTTGAAGTGCTGAGTCTGGTCATGGCCTTGTGTGCAGGAGCCCATGTGGCAGAAGTCATCATGGGGCAGGTGGCAGGAAGTGTGTGTATGTGGGCACGTGTGCATGCACATGTGGTGTGTCTAGTCCCTCTCCCTCTTCTTACACAGCCACTAAGTTCAACACGGCTCCCCACCCTAACATCCTTGTCTCAGCTCCACTTCTCTCCCAGGCCCGCCTCTAGACGCCTTCGTTAGATTACGTGTCCACACTCTTCCTCTCACAATGGAGATTACACTGCAATGTGAGCTTTGGAAGACACAGGCCACGTTCCCATCATGGCATGGGGGATGAGGGGTTCTCTGGATCATCCTAGATAGGATCAGCCACCTCTTGTCCCCAGTGGGCACCGAGATCTCTGACCGTGCCTTCCTCTCAGGGTCATGCAGCAGAAGAGGCATCACATAGCTGAAAGCACTTCACACCTCCTGTAGGACCTTTCCACGGCTCCCCCAGACCCTGGGTCCTGGACTCAGCAGTCAGGGAACAGGATTATCACAGCCCTCAGCCTTGGCCTGTCACGTTTCCTGAGGGGATCCCTGTGGCTCCAAAGACTGGGCATGTGAAGCCTGTCGTAAAGTCCCTGACAGTGTCAGCCTTGGGGCCTCTGTTGGCTGTGCCCCGGTCACCCTCTTGAGGCCCAGCAAGACACTTACTGCAGCAGAAAAGAGTGGCGATGGATGAGGTGGCCCAAGCCTTCTCCCAGTATCCCCCTTTCCTTGGTGTCATGGAGCCACTTCCCAAGAGTCCTTAGTCCAGCAGTCTTTCCTGGGGCTGTGCTATCCCTTGGCTGAGGACAGGGATTGGACCACAGTGGGGATAGTCTTGGGTCTGATTTGGGGGTGTGGTACAGGATAGAAAAGGCCAGACAAACCTTGGACGATTCACATGCAGGATCCTCTTCACACAGGTTCCCCATTAGCTTGTGAGAGGACAGAGACATGACCAGAAACCTGCAGCCAGGGACAAAAGCTCCACACTCACCAGGAAAGCCCGGGCTTTGGTCCATTTTCCCCACACGTCCTGGAACACTGAGTGCTGGCCTTATAGAGAAAACCTGTAAAATTCTTTGTTTTTGTTTTTATTAAGTTAAATTCAACAAATGTACTCAAAACTGTACTGAGTTTGGGCTTCTTTCTTCCATGCTCTTTGTACTTCTGCTGCTGACCACTGGACGTGTCCAGCGCTCTCCGCTCTTCTCGCACATCAGCTTTGGAGCAAAGAGGGCTCTGGGCTGGTTGGGGGAAGCTGGTGACTTCAGCATGAAAGCAACACAGGACTGTGTCCATTCGCTGGCACCAGACGGATGCACTTCTAACGGCACAGGTCCTGCTAGGGCCTGCATGTGCACTGTGCACCTTGGGATGTGGGGACAAGGGGCTTAGGGTGGCCTGTTTTCCAGCCCCACCCCCTGTAGCCTTGACGCCCAGAGAAAGCAGACTCGAAGGCCCCAAGTTCAAGTGAAACTATTTTCTGGCTGCTCCGATAGAGCAAATCTGAAGCTTATTCTGAAGAGGGACAGCTGAGCACATTTGTCATAAAGTGCTAAAAATAGTGGCACAGCGCGGGCCACTTTGTGCTCCTGCGATGCTGGAAGCTCTTCCTCCACTAATGAGCAGAGTCGCCCTGTTGGCAGAACAGTGGCATTTTCCCTTTCAGTCCCCTCCATTACAGTCTGACCTAACTTTTCAGGATCCTCTGTAAAATTCTGGCCCTCCGTCCAAGGTGTCAGCTGGCTTCTGTTATTGCCACGAGGTTGTGGTTGCCAGTTGTGTTCCAGACTGGCATTCCTTTCCCCAAAGCAGCCACGGGTTGGTGCTGCTGCCTGGGCCTCAGGGAGAGGATGCATGTGAGCGATGGTCCCAGAGTCGTGGTCAGCAGAGCAGCCTGGGGCTGTGTCTAGACCTTGGGAGACCTGGGGGCTCCTTTGCATGGAGACTGGATCCCATCTCTACTTTTTATCAGGGTGCAAAGGAGAAGCTTCGTAGGAAGAGGGCCTTGGGCCAGATCTTGAAGGCTGAGGCTCAGGAGGGGGGCCCCAGGGCAGGCCTTTGGGTGTACTCTTCGATGGTGTTGAGTGCCGAATCTGTCCAGTGTGTACAGAGCACATCTGGGGATGGCGCTCACTGTGTGTCTCCCCTTTGTCCCTGCCTTTGTGGGTATCATGCTCAGCTCCTATTCTCAGCCTTCATAGCTGCTGCTGCCAGGCCTGGTGGCTAGCCATCCGGGCTTGAAGCTTGGGCCTTCCCTTCCTTGCCAAGCACACAGGGCTGCAGTGCCTTGGCACCCCTCGCTGGGCCATCTCCACTTTGACATTGCTTCTTGCTGACACTCACTTGTTCATCTCAGACCCCAGCCAAGGGGACCCCTTCAGTTTCTCTTGGTCAAACATGTTCTCTGCTGTCCTGCTTCCTGAGCTGGTGTGGCTCTTCTTGCCCTAGTCCCTGACACCCCTGCCTGTCAGCCCTGAGGGCCAGCAACTCTCTAAGCATAGCCTGAGCCTGAAGACCCTGGTAGAGTCTCAAGCTAGGTGCGGTGGGACTGACATGACACGGCCTTGACAGTCTTGTGAAGTCTGGATGCCAAGTGGGAAAGAGGCGGGATAGTGGCTTCCCGCTGTGTAGATCAGAGCACACAGCGGTGCAGTGAGTCTGCTGAACCAATGGAGCCAACCCCGTGGGTATGGTGAGCTGGCATGATGATGGTGCCTGCCTGCCTGCTATCCTTCCTCCCCTCTCCTCTCCTCCTCCCTCCCTCGCTCCCTCCGTCCCTATCTTCTTCCCTCCTTCCCTTTTTTCCTTTTTCCCTCCCTCTCTTCCTCCCTTCCTGTTTCTTTCTTGTGCTGGACATCAGCGCCAGGAGTTCCTACGTGCTAAGTGTGCACGTTACCCCTGAGCTACATTTGCAGCCTGACAGCAGAGTCTGGGAGCAGCCCGTCTCCCCGGAAGCTAGCGCAGGCCTCATCTGTGCTGACCCTGTGGCTTTGGACTCTGTCTGTCACAGAAGGTTCTTCCTGTGGCCAGGACCACCTGTCTTCTCTGCAGGCTAAGCTGAGTGCTTACAGCCCAGCTCTGGGACCTGGCATCTCTGAAGGTGTGTGAGCCATGAAAGGGAAGATGGTGACAGTTGCCC